ATGATGGAGGTCGGCGGGACATAGTTGAGCAGGATGCTCATGCAATCTAAGGGTGTGTGGTGGGAGAGATGTCGATGAGGGATGGTGCAAGGGGATGTGCCAGGGTACAGACAGGGGCGAGAGTGAGACGTTAATGGTGTGGAAGGGGGCAGGGCTCAGGAAAGGTGCGTTGCGGACGTCCGCCCAGTCCCGGCCATTCAAGGCAAGGGAACGGGCTATAAACCTGCGGCCTTTGGGTGCGGTTGCGCCCCTGGGTCTCGCCTCTTGCGCCGGTCAGGTGTACGTCTGGCGGTATCCCCGCCATCCGTCAGAACTCCCCCGCCCCTAGAGCGGGCGGGCGCCCGCAGCGCACATTTCCGGTGGGATCTACGAGAGCGCAGTGAATACATGCAATGGGGTCAACTATAGGATAGCGAGCTATATGTAGTAGAGTACATAGTGGTGTTGTCCTGTAACAATTAAACGAGGTCAGCGTGTTGCGTGCTGTACGAATAGAGGGAGCGAAAAAGGGGTATGGGTTGCACTCGGGGCAGGGTGCTGTGTCTTCTGGTTGCGCCTCCCATAATGTTATGTTTTGCGATGTTTCGGCTCTTTTGGTGCCACATTGCCGAAGGTGTGTTGCAGGCGACGTGTTGCGCTGACGAACTTGAGGAGAGGTTGCATTGCTGACGGCGCATTGAGGAGGAAGGATATTGTGCGGGTGATTGTGTTTGGTGCGGCTGTTTTACAGGTACCAGCGTTTAGATTAGCCCAGTTCTGTACTTCCAGCTTCGATGATATTCAGTGTTACTGTACGCTTATCTCGTATTTTGTCATATTGAGGTCCTAGTCCTTACTTGAAACTCGATTGCTGGTTTCTTGGTAAGCATGAGCAGAAGCACGACGTAAGATCTACAGTCGTTTGCATATCAAATTGCAGTCGACGCGCGCGCCGCGGGGCTGTTTGCCCGTGTTTGCAACGCCGTGAGCGAGCGCCTCTCTGCCTGTTTGGGACCGGCCTCCGTCAACCCATTGTGGCCATCAAGTACAAAAAGCTTCTCCTGCACTGAAAGCCAACAAGGCATTGCTAGGAGCCATACTGTATGTACTATCAACCCGCTACGACATTTTTTAGGGATTTTGTCTGTTTTCATTGAGGGTGCACCCACCGAAGTGGCAGTCCTAGCCGGTACCCGACGGCGGAGCAAACACGAACAAACAGGCTCGACGCGCGCACGACACTGCAGTTTGATATGCAAACGACTGTA